CTCTTGCCAGGTTTTGCCTGTATGGTCTGGCTGTAAATTGAATGTAAGTGGCATCCAATCGTACTCTCTTCCTTAGCCGAAAGTTTATATATTTGTCAGCCCTTTGGTAATATTCTGGACTCACTCCCCAACGATTATTATTGCTTAGTTGGAGAGGTTCCACCAACGTGAACACTACTGAACTGCTAACAAGTTTAAATGAGGAAATTATTGTTTTAAGGTGATTAATTACTTCAGTGGGGTGTCGAGTAGGATGGATGTCATTACCACCTAAATAAATAATAGTTAGATGGTGAGGCCACTCTAACGCAGGTGTTAATGTGGAGTTATTATAGAAATTGTGAGCTGTTGCTCCTGGTGACCTGAAAATTCTTACCTCAGTTTGAGGTATAAGTCTGAGTGTTGTGGGTAATTAACTGTGTCCCACTGGTGCTACTTTATACATGAGGTATAAGCAGCAAATAAATTGGTGTGTATTAGGCTGACCTATGTGGTACACTGCCGGTAGCCACAATTAATAAAATGTGGTTAGCCTAGATTACAACACACAGTAATTAGTTATGATTATGGTATTAATTGTAATACATCCGGTTTGAAGGACCATATTTTTTGTGTTGGGAAGAAAGCTTACTCTCTATTAATTGAGTGATATTTAATTAATAGATTAATTTGAATTAATCGAAGGACCACCCTATTTTGACTGAAAAGGGAAACAGATAAAGTTAAATGATAAGGACTGAAACACCAGTGCCTATGGATAAGAAACTATTAAAGATTATTCTTTAAACTTCAATGGGCTGTATAATATTAATGATCGAGAATAAACTTTCCATCCTTCACAAAATTGGGGGTTAATACCAGAAGTAATCTACTCCCAGTACGCTTCATCGAGGCTGGTTCTTCCTCGAATAAAAATTTAGTAAATTCTACTAAATACTATATTAAGAAACATTAGATAAATTGATTAATTGTAAAAAGATTATAGGTTGATTAACCAAGAAATTATTCTCATTTGACTTTTATGAGGCTAACATATTACGTTAGATATCTCAAATCAAATAAACTAAATGTCTTCGACTGATAATCGATTCTAGAATTTTCTCAATCAAAAAAATAATAGAAAAGGGTTCAGCTGCTTAGCTGTAATTGTGAATAGAGAGGTATAGGTGCAATGGCGTCGTCTGCTACTTGCTGCAACTCGTGAGCTCGAGCATGGCGTGGGAACATGAAGACCACGACCGCTTACAACACAAGTTGAAATTTCAACTGAATATACTAATTGTTTACACCTAATATCTAGTATCCTCACTATGCCATAGAAGGAATGAAATTAATTCCTTATAGACGTACTTATTGTTTGGGGAGGTCGCGTGGTATAACGATGGACAGTGCACAGTAAAAAGATATATGTAGAGATCTCAAGATATAACTAATACTAGGGCACTTAACCTGCTGGTTGTCCACCAATGCAATCACAGATTGCTACTGGAGCAATTGCACGCTCCTAGGCCGATTAACTGCAAGGGCCTAACGTAGAATTGATGTAAATTCGACTCTCCTGGAATGCACGATGTGATTGTTGGCGTCGCTTGATCAGCCAGTGGCTAACGCAAGAATGGCGTCTTTCCGCCTTCCTCCCTCAACTCGTCTCTCGCATTCACAACAGAAATTAATAATCATGGATAATTCTTTTCCATGTAATTACTGATGTAATGCCTTAATGAGAGCCGGGTTGCAATTATAGGGAATTAAATAATATCAAATTCTCGTTAAATGGTGTTAATCGAGAAATGGAGATAATTTTATTTCCTCCATAGCATTCGTACCTAACAGATAAAACTGTTACTTGATAATAATCTCAGTTAATAACTCTCTGTTTTGGATTTTTGGGAGCTATATTATCCGTAGTTAATTATTGTATGGAATACTGATAATTTTAGAGAACCACATTCAATTCTCTAACATATTAGGAATAAATATGTTTAAATGGACATTATCTGACGCAATCCTGCCTCTCGATGTTGTGAGAATATTAGCAATATGCTCAGATAAAGAAATATTAATTTATGTTAACACTACCGTTAGTGGAATTAATAACTACTTTAATTAGTTATACAATAATGATGTATTATAATACAATGGTAATGAGTCAGTGTTGGAAATTTCCAACACTGGTGGGCATGGGAAGGCATTCACGACGTTGGTTTCCTTCAAGGCGTTCTGTTTGTTGTTTTGGAAGTTTTTCATGAGTAGGTTGGCTGTTTTTTTTGTTTTCTTAGTAAATTGTCAATTGTATTTTCTGACTTTTGTCTGTACGGATAACTATCCTATTAATAATATCTTTCAGGACCCTTTCCGCGATCTTGTGAACCGTCGAAAAGAAGTTCCTGTAAACCAGTCTAATAGAGGGTACAAGTGTTGTGCTAGTTGACTATTCAGAGGTTGCATGGCGTTTCACCTTTCTTTTTATGACGTCTTCAACATAAGCGTTAGAGAAGCCATTGTTGACTAGGACCTGCCTTACCCTACAGAGTTCTTCATCGACTTGCTTCCATCCTGAGCTGTGACTGAGAGCCCGGTCGACGTAAGTGTTGACAACACTCCTCTTGTACCTGTCTGGGCAGTCTCTATTGGCAGTGAGGCCCATTCCTATGTTTGTTTCCTTAGTGTAGACTGCAGTGTGCAAGCCTTCGTTCCTTTCCGTGACTGTTACAATTAAAGGGCAGCTTCCCATCATTCTCCATCTCGTAAGTGAAACTTAACACAAAATTCTGCTCGAATGCCTCCTTCAGCTGCTGCAGACGTCTGACATAAAGTACCTGCATAAAAATATCGTCAGCATACCTGCAGTATATGGCGGGTTTCAAGTCCATGTCAACTATGACCCTCTGCTCGATGGTACCCATGTAGAAGTTGGCAAACAGGACACCTAGGGAAGAACCCATGGCGACCCCATCTACTTGCTTATACATGTGCCCATCTGGACTCAAAAAGAAGAGTGTCTCTTAAGTGCAGGCTTGGAGTAGCTTTCTTAGTAATTTTTCTGGAATGTCAAGAGGAGTACAAGCTGGATCACGATACACTCTGTCCACTATCATCCCAATTGTTTCATCCAAAGGTACATTGGTAAACAGACTCCCCACTGCTGTGGGGCGTGCTGGGAATTAAAAAAAATTGGTAGGCGCTCATTGGAGGCCTGAGGCCTATATCTCGTACCCAAGTGATCATATGCTAGATTTGATTCCTACAATGTACCTACGATCGCCTAATGGCACTCTGCACAGCCACGATCCAGCAATTTAAGGCGCCCTGCACAATGTCAGTGGTTAATAGTCGGGTGAGGAGCGTATTTAGATGGTCCACGTAACAAAATGCAACCTTAGGGAGCCCTGGAGTTTAGTCCCACTCACAAAGCTCTGGTGTATCGTCCCACTCAGTGAGCCCTGGTGTGTAGTCCCAGTCAGTGAGCCCTGATGTGTAGTCCCACTCAGTGAGCCCTGATGTGTAGTCCCACTCAGTGAGCCCTTGTGTGTAGTCCCACTCAGTGAGACCTGGTGTGTAGTCCCACTCAGTGAGCCCTGGTGTGTAGTCCCACTCAGTGAGCCCTTGTGTGTAATCACACCCAGTGAGCCCTGGTGTGTAACCCCACTCAGTGAGCCCTGGTGTGTAATCCCACTCAGTGAGCCCTGGTGTGTAATCCCACTCAGTGAGCCCTGGTGTGTAGTCCCACTCAGTGAGCCCTGGTGTGTAGTCCCACTCAGTGAGCCCTGGTGTGTATTCCCACTCAGTGAGCCCTGGTGTGTAGTCCCACTCAGTGAGCCCTGGTGTGTAGTCCCACTCAGTGAGCCCTGGTGTGTAGTCCCACTCAGTGAGCCCTGATGTGTAGTCCCACTCAGTGAGCCCTGATGTGTAGTCCCACTCAGTGAGCCCTGATGTGTAGTCCCACTCAGTGAGACCTGGTGTGTAGTCCCATTAAGTGAGCCCTAGTGTGTAGTCCCACTCAGTGAGCCCTGGTGTGTAATCCCACAAAGTGAGCCCTGGTGTGTAGTCCCACTCAGTGAGCCCTGATGTGTAGTCCCACTCAGTGAGCCCTGGTGTGTAGTCCCACTCAGTGAGCCCTGGTGTGTAGTCCCACTCAGTGAGCCCTCAGTGAGCCCTGGTGTGTAGTCCCACTCAGTGAGCCCTGGTGTGTAATCCCACTCAGTGAGCCCTGGTGTGTAATCCCACTCAGTGAGCCCTGATGTGTAGTCCCACTCAGTGAACCCTGGTGTGTAGTCCCACTCAGTGAGCCCTGGTGTGTAGTCCCACTCAGTGAGCCCTGGTGTGTAGTCCCACTCAGTGAGCCCTGGTGTGCAATCACACTCAGTGAGCCCCGGTGTGTAATCCCACAAAGTGAGCCCTGGTGTGTAATCCTACAAAGTGAGCCCTGGTGTGTAATCCCACTCAGTGAGCCCTGATGTGTAGTCCCACTCAGTGAGTCCTGGTGTGTAATCCCACTCAGTGAGCCCTGGTGTGTAATCCCACTCAGTGAGCCCTGGTGTGTAATCCCACTCAGTGAGCCCAGGTGTGTAGTCCCACTCAGTGAGCCATGGTGCATAATCCCACTCAGTGAGCCCTGGTGTGTAATCCCACTCAGTGAGCCCTGGTATGTAATCCCACTTAGTGAGCCCTGGTGTGTATTCCCACTTAGTGAGCCCTGGTGTGTAGTCCCACTCAGGGAGCCCCTGAGGAGTAACCCACTCAGGGAGCCTTGATGAGAAGGAGGCTCATATGAAAGATTTATCCACATTTATCAATCATTTCACATAAAATAAATGGAACGCTGTAGATGGACAGTGAACTTTATCCGTCTTATGATCACGTAAAGGTGATCAACAATAACAGACTTGGAACAATATCTCAGGGTTGTGGTACTGCAAATACTGATTATTATCTACTCCTGAAAATGTATTCTGTAATGGCTATTGGGTGTGTTGGGAATACAATTTAAGTTTTCTCACCTGGCTTGGTGATCCGGATAAATTCATCCATGGCTTGAACAGGCATATGGCTATGAAGCAGGCTACCAGTGGTCACCACCACATCATATGTGTCTGGCATCAACACACAAGATAAACATTACCATCGGCAACATTATCAACACATGATGTCATTACATGATATGCACTGAGCTCGTGAAAATAAATAAATAAATAAATAATATATATATATATATATATATATATATATATATATATATATATATATATATATATATATATATATATATATATATATATATATATATATATATATATATATAAGATTTTATAAAGAAAATAAAATAATCGAATAGATGATGCTTAAATAACATATCATATTTAATGTAAATATATTAATTATATACAATTTTTCAGACACCTTACAATATATAAATTGACATTTCTACCCTTGACAAAGAAGTCAAAACATTGTTATTATTCTCAACTGTCAAATTATTACATTTTCGTCAAGTAACATTTTTTACACTCAAGTTTATTTTGCAGTAGGATGTATTTGAGGATGGAAGGATGTATTTTGGTATACAACCCGTTCTCGCTCAAGACAGCACATATATGACTAAATGCTTATAGTCCCTATTTTGTTAATTTTTATTGTACCTATGTTGTATATTCCCAGTTATATTTTTTTCCAGGCACTAACTCTTCCTTATGTACCAATTTACGTCCCATAGTACCCGTCTATCGCCGCAGACAGCAGAATAGTTGTGATTGGTTCACTTTTAATAAAAAAATTATTTTTCCAGTCCGACATGTGTTGTGAAATTTACCTACTCTTGTCCATGCTATTAGAATATTATGGATCAGCTATATCCTGTTGATGGCTCATAGTTTTGGCTTGAGAAATGTTGGTTGTTCTCAGTAAATAATAATAAGCACTATTAATTATTACATATAATAATGGTGCTATGCCAATCAACATAATATACAATAGTGAGTGCTTTAAAAATCTCCATAGAATGGAATGTAGGAACACCTATAAAAAACGAAGTTACTTTGAAAGAAATATGGATTATACTACTGCAAACAGGATGGATATAGGATGTATGTAAGTATTGGTATGGCGTCAACTACCAACTGTAGGATGGATATGGGGTCCATTACCACCTGTTGGGTGAGTAAGGGGTCCATACCACCTGTAGGATGGTTTGGATCCACAACTGGCCATAGGATGGTTATGAGGTCCACTTCCACCTTCAGGATAGGAATGGGGTCCACTACCAACTGTGGGACTTTCGTCAAGTACCAAATATACAGAACAAGAGTTTCAGTCTCATTTGTTTGGATACCATCACTCATAGGAGGCGTATTAGCCTTTCACAGATGTGCGTAAGGCAGCTAAAATTGCAAGTGATAAGCCTGAAATTAAGTGGGATATTGGCATTCAAATCTCTGCTGAAAAGCCGCAATATTTTAGGAAATTGGGGGATGACAGAATAGCAGTTACTGAGACTCAAAGGCCAGAAAGCACGAGTGTAAAGGGCTATGACATATTTAGAAGCGAGAATTTTATATACGGCCAGCATAAAATATCCACTAGACAGTGTGTCATGGTAATTGCCAGAATTAGGCTGAGATATCGATATCTATGGCAGGTGGCTGCTGGTAATACAGGCTTTACACAGGTTTAACATGCTGTGGTTTGTAATATTCTCATCTCTGTCAGTGATGTATAAGGCAAAAAGGGTTGGGCCCAAAATACGGCCGTCTTAACACTATTATTATGGACCCCTGGACAAACAAGTGTGCTGGGGCCCCTACGACAACCACTCACGGGAATAAAAAGTAAATGATCGATAATATTAAAACCTATATATTTAATTGGTACTTATCAAAACTGGTGATAAAACCTTAACAACATACTGTGGAGAAGCAACTAATCAACATGATAAACGTTTCAACAATACACAAGGCTTGAAAAAGACAATAATACTCAGTAAGGTACACATTAGATGGCACATTATGAAACATTTACATCCCACTCAAAACATTACGTTTCATTTCTGTTGATAGGGTTATTTACCTGGAAATATATATCGTAAATTTTTATTATTTAGTCCCACAACAGGATGTAGGGGTGAATTATATAAGTGTGGATGCATGTCTTATGCTTGTGGAGCCCCTATGCTCGTGGGGCCCCTATGCTCGTGGGGCCCCTATGATCGTGGGGCCCCTATGATCGTGGGGCCCCAGACAAGTGCCCATCGGGTCCATCCGGTAAGATGGTTCTGCCTTAAAATAGACCCCTGTCGTATCCCACTTACCACAATTTTCCAGTCAGATTCATTTCCAGCTAGCACCACTCTTTGTCATCCACCGGATTGGTATCAGGTCCACTAACGCTCACAGGTTGGGTATTTGGTCCACTGCCACCCACAAGATGGGTTTAGGGACCACTATCATCCTCAGGATGGGTATGGGGTCCAGTACCACCCAGAGGGTGGGTTTGGGGACCACTATCATCCTCATAATGGGTATGTGGATGGTCTACTACCACCCACTGGATGGGTATATGGTCCACTACTGCCCACAGGATGAGTACGACGTCCACTATACCGCCAACAGCATGGGTTAAGGGATCGCTATCATCCACAGGATGGGTATGGGGTCCAATACCGCCGACAAGATGGATTTGGGGACAACTATCATTCACAGGATGGGTATGGGGTCCACTACCACCTACTGGATGGATTTATGGTCAACTACTGCCCACAGGATGAGTATGGCGTCCGTTACCGCCAGCAGAATGGGTGTGAGGTTCACTACCTCCCACTGGATGGGTATGGGGTCCACTACCGCTCATAGGATGTGTATGGCGTCCACCACCACCCACAGAACGGGTATGGAGTCCACTACTCCCCACATGATGGGTATGGGGTCCATATCACCCACCGGATGGAAATGGGACCACTACCGCCAACCGGATAGGTATGGCCTTCATTGCTGCCCACAGGATGAGTATAGAGTCCAGTATTGTCCATGGGATGCGTATGGGGTCCACTACCGCCCACAAGTTCCGTGTGGAGTCCACAACCGCTCACAGGGTGGGTATCGGAGCCACTTCCATCCACAGGATGGGTATATGCTTCACTACTGCCCACAGGATGGGTATGAGGTCCACAACCACTCACAGGATGGGTATGGGGGGCCATTACAACCCACACGATGAGTATGGGGTCCCCTACTACCCACAGGATGGGTATGGGGTCCATTACCGCCCACTGGATGCGTATTAGGTATACTACCGCTAACAGAATGGATATGGGGCTCCATTACTGCCTACAGGATTGCTATGGAGGTCCATTACTGCCTGCAGGATGGCTATGGGGTCCCTACCACCCAGAGGATGGGTATAGGGTCCACTTCCGCCTGCTGGATGGGTATGGGGTCCATTACCGCCCACAGGATTGGTATGGGGTCCCCCATTCAAGGCCCATGCTAGTTACTGTCAAAAATGGGACTCGTGTTCTCTCAAATAAGAGAATTGTTGTCAATGAAAATTAACTCCTGGTCTGTGGGTGCCGAGTTGCTGTTGGGTCATTGGAAGAAACAGCCTAGGCTACTAATGACTTTTAACAGTCGGGTAGGCATGTGGTCAGGATACTGGACTTGTCAGTGTATTCATTACACCTGTCAATTTAAGGTTTGAACCTTTCATCCCATATATCCTGCCCATGGGGCAGGGCATGGGGTCTGCTACCACCAACATAATGAGTATATTGGTCCACTACCGCCCACAGGATGGGAATGGGGTCCATCACCGCCAACAGAATGGGCATGGGGTCCACTATCACCCAGAGGATGGATGTGAGGTCCAATGTTGTTTGGGGGGGGGGCAACTACAGCTCACTGGATGGATATAAATTCCACAAGTTCCCACGTGGTGTTGGTGTTGGAAGTGGTGTTGGTGTTGGGAGTGGTTGTGGTGTTGGGAGTGGTTGTGGTGTTGGGAGTGGTTGTGGTGTTGGGAGTGGTTGTGGTGTTGGGAGTGGTTGTGGTGTTGGGAGTGGTTGTGGTGTTGGGAGTGGTTGTGGTGTTGGGAGTGGTGTTGGTGTTGGGAGTGGTTGTGGTGTTGGGAGTGGTGTGTTGGTGTTGGGAGTGGTGTTGGTGTTGGGAGTGGTTGTGGTGTTGGGAGTGGTGTTGGTGTTGGGAGTGGTGGTGTTTGGGAGTGGTGTGGTGTTGGGAGTGGTGTTGGTGTTGGGAGTGGTGTTTGTGTTGGGAGTGGTGTTGGTGTTGGGAGTGGTGTTGGTGTTGGGAGTGGTGTGTGGTGTTGGGAGTGGTGTGTTGGTGTTGGGAGTGGTGTTGGTGTTGGGAGTGGTGTTGGAGTGGTGTTGGGAGTGGAGTGCCCCTTGGTGTTGGGAGTATGTGTTGGTGAAACAATTGGGAGTGGTGTTCCTCAAAGCTGTTGGGACTGGTGCCATTGGAACCCCACCCGGGGCCCTGTTGGAAATATGGGCTTCAAAAACCGGCCCCACAAGTGGTGTTGGTGTTGGGAGTGGCCTAGGACCAACACTCACAGCCGAAGCCCATCCCCTGAGGACAGAGCAAGGGCAAGCAGCCCCCCTAACTCTCCACCAGAGAGCGACTCTAGCACCACGGATGTGAACATCATGAACAGCAGTGACACCGAAGACCCCTCAATGGCACAGCAACGTATGGGAAACATGGGGATCACAATCCTTCAGGTGAACATCAGACATTACTTCAACAACAGATACCTACTCACTCTGGAGGTAGCCAGACTTAACCCAGATGTTATCTTACTCAATGAAACAGCGGTCAGACAAGACCAGCACATCTCCATTTGGGGATATTCCACCAGGGAAGTCAACAGGGGTATGTACAGTGGGGTGGCAATACTAATAAGAAGAGGGCTCTCCTACCGCCCCATCCTCATAGAAGACGACAACTTTCTTGCAATAGAACTCACCACTTCACACGGCCCCCTCATCGTCTGCACCGCATATCTACCACCTAGACTGGCCTACCTCCCCTCCATCCCTCTGAACAGGCTGCTCGATAGGAACCTCCCCACTATCATCGCAGGAGACCTG